CCCTCAGTCCCCCCCAGGGCCCCTCCCTCGTGTCCCACCATGGCCACGTCCTTCACATCCCACCATGGCCACGTCCTTCAGATCCCACCATGGCCACGTCCTTCAGGTCCCACCATGGCCACATCCCTCTTGTCCCCACCTCCCCATGACCACGTCCCTCTTGTCCCCACCTCCCCATGACCACGTCCTTCATGTCCCCCATCCCTCATGACCTCATCCCTCCATGCCCACGTCCCTGCCTCTCCATGCCCGTGTCCCTCACATCCCCACCCCTCCATTTCTCCAAGGTGACGTCACGTCCCTCACGTGTCCCCTGTCCCGTCCCCACCCCACCAGCCACATCCAGGTGCGGGCAGGAGAGCACAGCCTGGTCACGGTGACGGGGCAGGAGCAATACGCCGTGGCCGCGGAGGTCGTGGTCCACCCCGACTTCAACTCCGTGGACGGGGACAACGCCTACGCCCATGACCTCATGCTGTTGCGCGTCGAACCCCCCTTCACCATCACCCCCTACGTCCAACCCTTGACCTTGCCCTCAAGTCCGCCGGCCACCGGTACCGACTGCACCGTCATGGGATGGGGCACCACCACCAGCCCCCAAGGTATGGGAGGACTCAGGTGGGGTGGTGGCATCTCTGGAGAGCAGATCCAGATGGACAAGGGATGGAGACCTCAACCTGCACTGGGTGGGGCGGTGGCATCTCCGGAGAGGAGATCCAGATGGCCAAGGGATGGAGACCTCAACCCACATTGGGTTGGGTGGTGGCATCTCCAGAGATGAGGGACGCAGATGGACAAGGGATGGAGACCTCAACCCACATTGGGTTGGGTGGTGGCATCTCCAGAGATGAGGGACGCAGATGGACAAGGGATGGAGACCTCAACCCACATTGGGTTGGGTGGTGGCATCTCCAGAGATGAGGGACGCAGATGGACAAGGGATGGAGACCTCAACCCACATTGGGTTGGGTGGTGGCATCTCCAGAGATGAGGGACGCAGATGGACAAGGGATGGAGACCTCAACCCACATTGGGTTGGGTGGTGGCATCTCCAGAGATGAGGGACGCAGATGGACAAGGGATGGAGACCTCAACCCACATTGGGTTGGGGTGGTGGCATCTCCGGAGATGAGGGACGCAGGCGGCCAAGGGATGGAGACCTCAACCCGCATTGGGTGGGGTGGTGGCATCTCTGGAGATGAGGGACGCAGGTGGACAAGGGATGGAGACCTCAACCCACATGGGGGCATCTCTGGAGATGAGGGACACAGGTGGACAAGGGATGGAGACCTCAACCTGCATTGGGTTGGGTGGTGGCATCTCTGGAGAGGAGATCCAGCTGGACAAGGGATGGAGACCTCAACCTGCATTGGGTTGGGTGGGGTCAACCATGGTGACACGTGTCCCCTCCCATCCCAGAGTCCTTCCCTGACACCCCCCAGTGCGTCAACGTCACCGTGGTGGGTGACAGCCAGTGCCAGATGGTCTACGGCAGCAAAGTCACCGAGGACATGTTGTGCGCCGGCGTGGCTGCGGGGGGCAGGGACTCCTGCCAGGTACCTCCACGTCCCCGTGTCCCATCACCACGTCCCCGTGTCCCATCAACACGTCACGTCCCATCACCACATCCCCGTGTCCCATCACCACGTCATGTCCCATCACCACGTCACGTCCCATCACCACGTCCCCTTGTCCCATCACATCATGTCCCATCACATCATGTCCCATCACCACGTCATGTCCCGTCACCACGTCACGTCCCATCACCACGTCACGTCCCATCACCACGTCCCCTTGTCCCATCACATCATGTCCCATCACATCATGTCCCATCACCACGTCCCCTTGTCCACTCACCACGTCCCCTTGTCCCACGGCCACCTCCTTGTCCCTTGAAACGTGGACACATCTCCACGTCCCATCCCTACGTACCCACCTCACGTGACCACGTCTCCTCACCTTTGAGGCATGACCTCGTCCCCGTGTCCCATTGCCACCACCCATAACCACGTCCCTTTGGTCTCCTTTGTCCCTTGGGTTTCAAGACACGACCACGTCCCATGGGCACATCTTCACGTCTGGTGGCCACATCTTCATGTCCCATGGCCACCCCACCCTTCCCTGGCCACCTCCTCCCTGGTGTCCTCCTTGGCCAGGGATTGTGGCTGAGGTCCTGTCATGGTCCCTTTTGTCCCCAGGGTGACTCGGGGGGACCCCTCATCTGCAACGGGGTCCTTCAAGGCATCGTCTCGTGGGGTGACCACCCCTGCGGGCAGGTGGGGAAGCCAGGGGTCTACAGCCAGGTCTACAACTACCTGTCATGGATCCAGAAGACAATCGGGGAAGACTGAGTCCTCCTCGTCCCACCATGGACCTGCCGATCCCATCACAGACCCACCAACCCCATCACGCAACCCAACAGGGACCATCTGACCCCCACCATGGACAGGCTGAAGCCACCAAGAAAGGATCAACCCTATCGTAGATCCACCACCACCATCACGGATGGACTGAGCCTCCCCACGATGGACCCCATCGTGGTTGGGTTGACCCCATCAAGGACCAATGAAGCCCACCATGGATTGACCTACCCAACCATGGACCCCACCATGGCTGGGCTGATCCCATCATGGATGGCCTGACTCCACCATGGACACTCCAAGCCAACCGTGGACTGGGTTGACCCCACCATGGAGAGACTGACCCCACCACAGATGGTCTGATTCCATCGTGGCTGGATTGACCCCACCATGGACACTCCGACTCACCAGGGACAGACCAATGCCACCATGAATGGACTGAACCTACCACCAACCCCACCATGACCAGACTGACCCCACCACAGACCCCCACCATGGATGGACAGACCCCATCATGGACGGACCAAGCCCACCAGAGATCAACTGACCACACCACAGATGGATCAAACCCACCACAGATC